GTGTGTGTGTGTGTGTGTGTGTGTGTGTGTGTGTGTGTGTGTGTGTGTGTGTGTGGCTGGTGTCTGGGGTACTCTTCCCTGGTGCATCCAGGCTTGCTGTGTCCCTGTGGGGTCAGCCCTGCTAGATGGCTCCTGGACAAGGCCCCGCCCCAGAGACTGCTCTCAGTGAGGAGCACAGGGGAGCCCCACCCGAGTCTAGGGGCCCGAGGGGAGCCCCTAGCCCGGCTGGGAGGCGGGGTGGGTGGTGGTACTAGTTGGCACAGCTGTGTGGCTCCCAGGGCTGGGTGATCGATGGCCTGGCACAGCCGCCTGTGTCTTGGGAGCACACATGCCATTTGTCATCCATACGGTGGGGGGGCGGGGGCAGGGAGAAGGGGCCGCCTCTGCACCCACCACCAAGTCCAGGCTGGGCCTGCAGCCCCCCAGGGAGTCCCAGTCTCCTCCTGCCAACTCTCCCACTCCCAGCCACAAACCAGACAGTCAGCCCTGGCTGGCCCCACTGTAGGGCCCCAGTCCTGGGCAAGCCCCCTCCTAGCTCTGGCATCCCTCTAACCAGGGTCCCACCCAGTACGGGGGCAGAGCTTGAGGAGGCTGTACCCAGCCCCGTGCAGTGGGGAGCCAGTGTGTGTCCTCCCCTGTAACTGTGCACGTCCCAGCTGTTCTTCATGTCCTTTTGGTGGGTGTGGGTGCATGTGCATGCAGTGCTGTGTGGGGTGAGGTGGGAGCCTTCTCCGCCCGGTGTGCTGCGTGTTCTCATGCACAAGCAGCGGGTCCCCTCAGTGGGCTGTGAGGTGCCAGGCCCTGGGCTTGGTGGCACACCTGTTCCAAGCTGGCTCTGTGGCACAGAGGTGGTTCCTACCACACTGAGCAGGGGCTCTGCGGTGCCTGGTGCACCGAATGCACACATCCAGGCCCGGAAGCATACACCGCACACCCCCGTACACGCACTGAAGCTGTGGGCGCCCAGGTGGCTGCCCAGATGGAGCACAGAGCGGCATCCCAGTGAGCGGGGCGCGGGAGGAGCGGGTCTTGGCTGAGCGTGGCCGCTGCAGGCGCGGCCGCTGACCTGCCTGGAGCCACCCAGATGGAGCCGGGCTGAGCAGGTGGCTGGACCATGGGGCCATGCTGTGACGTCCACTCCCCCCAGCCTGCCTGGCCCCACATGGCTGACCCCCTCGAAGACCACCAGTGTCCACCTGGCGCTCTACTGCAGCAAGCTCTGCAGACGTGTGCACACACACACACACACACACACACACAACAGACATAACACATGCAACACACACAAACATAGCAACACACATACAATACTCACCACACACAGTACACACGATATACACAATGCACAAAACACACAAATACACAATAGCACACATGTACAACACACCACATACAATGCACAAAACACACACCACACATACAACACACACACAATAACACATGCAATACTCACCAAACACAGTACACACAATGCACAAAACACAACACACAAAACATACAACACACCACACACACGCGTGTGGCATGGTCCAGACACACATGCCTTCTGTTGGCTCCTTGGCTCAGCTGCCTTCTCTGGTTTCCACGGCAGGGCAAGTTCTCTGGGGGAAGCCAGACTTGGACGCTGGTATCTTCCTGGTGGGCGCCCTGGCCATACTTTGCTTCTTCAGTCACTGCAGTGGGGAGATGGCTGCGGGCTGAATTATTCCTGAAATCAATCTTAGGGCTCGTGTGGGGCCCCCAAAGAATACAGGATGACCATCACACTCAAATTTCAGAGAATGGTTTTTTCATGTATGATCCGCATGCTGTCCAGGCTGTGCCTCACACCAGATGATCTGCGCTGGACCTCAGGGGTGTGTTGTATTGGTTCTGGCTACTGGACCCCAGAGGTCGGGAGTGAGTGGTGCGGGAGGCAGGGCACCCCAGGCTCTCATCCCGGAGCCTGGAGAGCCCCTGACATGGAGCGGGGGGACTGGTCAGCAGGGCCCTGGCTCTGACTGTGCTTCCCATCTGTAGGTGGCCATGGTGCCCGGGCTCACCCAGTAGCAGGCCGCCATGTCCCGAGAGGTGGGCTCGTGCCGCATGGGCACAGGGGCCAGAGCACGGTCACGGAAGCCCAAGAAGCCTCATTACATCCCGCGGCCCTGGGGAAAGCCCTACAACTATAAGTGCTTCCAGTGCCCCTTCACCTGCCTAGAGAAGTCGCACCTGTACAACCACATGAAGTACAGCCTCTGCAAGGACTCCCTCTCGCTGCTGCTGGATTCCCCAGGCTGGGCCCGCCGCCCTGCCACACCCAGGCCCCGTGCACCCACCCCTGATGGTCCTGGGGACTCCTCCGACCCCGGCCGCCCAGCCCCAGGGGCGCCACTGTCAGACACAGCCACGCCTGATCTTGTCCCTGACAGTCTCTTCCTGCACCGTGGTAGGGGCCCCAAGCCTGGGGCTGAGGGGTCCCCTGGGCCACCACCCCCTGCCATGAGCGTTTCCCGGAAGGGTCCAGCTCCCAGTGGGCTCCTGGCTGAGTCTTGGAAGGCTGGGCTGGGTGGGGGCCCAAGGGGCGTGGCCATGGGGGATGTGGTCTCAGCAGGCCCTGAGGGCAGTGCCCCCTGCTATCCACCACCCACCCCGGGGGAGTTCCCTGAGGCTCAGAGCCTGCACCTGTCTCTGCTGGGCGTCAACTACCCGCTCAGCCCAGGCCTCTTCTCCTACCTGGGGCCCTCGCTGGCCACTGCAGCCCACGTGCCCTTCCTGGCCTCTGCCGGCCCTCTGCTGCCCCCAGCAGCAGCCTTCCCGGGCCCACAGCCCCCCGAGCGCCCGGCGCTGGCCCCCCGACTGTATTACCCGCTGCTCCTGGAGCACACTCTGGGGCTGCCAGCGGCCAAGGCTGCCCTTGCCAAGCCCCTCGTGCCCCCAAAGGTCCCCCCTGGGGCCTTGGCTCCTGGTCTGCTGAAGGTGTCAGCTTCAGGGCTGGCTTGGCCCCGCGGCACCCCCAGGGACCCAGAGCAGGAGGGGGAGCTGGAACGGGCCACCCAGAGTGACTCCAAGAGGCGGCTGCCCCTGGGGAGCAGACTGGAGCTCCGGAAGGCGCCCCCCAGCCTGGCGGAGTCCTGCTCCCAGGGCAGGTGGGTGTTCCGGGCACTCAGTTCTGGGCGGAGGCTCAGAGGCAGGCCGGGCCGGGCACTGGGCTCCATCCCAAGCTCAGTCGCTGTGACCTGGCTCCAGGCCACAGAAGGGAACTAGACCAGAGAGCTAGACCACCTGTCCTCTAGGGTCCCCGGCTCCAGTCTGGGACCTCGGTCCCTCTCCCTGGGGCTCTGGGGTGACAGAGGGTGTGGGGGAGTGGGCAGGAGCTGGGGCACTGGGGGCAGTGCAGCCTCCTGACCGGATTCCCCCTGCAGCCTGCCCGCTGCCTCCTCTGTGATGCTCTGTTCTGAGGAAAAGGAGCCGGGCGGCCCCAAGACCCCCGGGGTGCCCCTCCCACCACAGCCTCGGGGCCCAGCGCCAGGAAGCCCGGGACACGTGGATGAGGACCTGACTCGGGCCCTTGGTGACTACGCCAGGGTGGAGCAGCGCCTGGGACAGCTGGCGCCTGCCGGGGGCCTGGCCCCACGGCCTTTGCGGGAACAGCTGGGCAAAATTCGCCTGGAGCTGCTGACTATCCACAGGGCGCTGGAGCGGGCTGCGCGGCCCCCGGACACTCCCCTTGACCTCTCCGTCAAACGGGCACCTGCCAAGGGGCCGGAGACGCCCGAGGGGGGCTGGGGGCAGCCGAACCTGGGTCCCGTGTTGGCCCGGGGAACCCCTGAGCCCCACGGCACGCTGGGCCCCGCGGTGCCCGAGCCCTTCTCCAGCCACACCACCAAATGTGAGGCCGACTCCAGCGTCCCGCCCCCGGGGCTCCCCCTCCCAGCCCCCGAGGACCCTGTCATTCCTGGCAGTGGCTGGGGCTCCTGTGTCGGGGCTGGGCACCCCCAGGCCCCCGAGGACACCCGTGGCCTGCAGAGCTCCCCTGGTGCTGAGGTCTGACCCGCTGTGCCAGGGTCCGCCTTTGCCCTCAATGTTCACCCCACTCCTCTCCACCACTCTGGCCCCACTCCCCAGCCCCCTGGCCCAGGCTTCACCATGCATGTGGACAGACCCCCACCCGCATGGCCAGGTTTGCCTCTGAGGCCATGCGGGTTATTTATTGGTCACAGTTGTCGACATTAAAATATAAATCGCCTTCACACACCCTGTCTGTGCCTGCTTCCTTTGGGACCCCAGCAGACCCACCTGGACAACCCCCAGGAAGTGTCCCGGCCCGGGTGTCCTGGGTGGCAGCATCCCCGGCCTCCCCGCGGGCTTCTGCCTTTGGACACAGACCCCCCTCCTGTGGACCAGCCCTTCCAAGGGTCTGGGGTGGGGTAGGGGCATTCCAACAGGGGAACAGGGCAAGGAGAGGCAGGGGCTGGCAGGGAGGGGGAGCTTGGGGGGGGTCATGCTTCTGTGTGCTGGTGGTGGTAGGGACCTGAGCATGTCTAGCCCCCGAGACCAGCAAGGCAGCGCTAATGTCGGCTTCCCCGTAGCTAAACGGGCCCCAGTGCCTGTGGCTCAGGGCTGTTCACCCAGCGTGAGTTCCACTGGGCCCCCGCCAGTGCCTGCAGCCACGATACCATCGGTGGCCTTCACAGCTCGCTGGCTCCCTCCTGGTGCGGCCTGACTTGGCCTTCCCACAGGCGGGGATGGGACAGGCAGGGAGGGGTGTAGGGGCCCCACCGCTAATCGCTTCTCTTCCTGGGGAGCTGGCCACACCCTCTGTGCCCTACTGGGAATGGTCCCTGAACTCTGAGGAGAAGTGGTTCCTGTCTGCACCCAGCTCCCCGAGCTGTGGCTGGGCCGGCCGGGCTGGGGCCAGTCCAAGCAGGACCTGTGGCTGCCCCATGACCCGCACCCGGGAAGCGATAGCATCAGCCACCCACCCCACCTCTGGGTGTGCAGGGCGGGGTGCTGTGGGGACAGGTCCCAGCCGGGTACCTTCTGCCCGGGGCCTTCCTGGAGGGCTGCAGGGGGGCCGTGAGCAGAGCCAAGAGGGGTCCTCCTGGAGGCAACATCGCCAGTTTCACAGGTGCAGAGACAGGACCGTCCCGTCCCCTCACCTACAGGGGAGGTAGGACAGACCTCACAGATGTCCCACCCAGATGCTGGTGGGTGACCTGGGTAGACAGGTCCCCTCCCGTGGTCCTGCTTGGGAGTGGCAGCCTGGGCTGCCTCCTGCCTGCCTGGGACATAACCTGAGAAACCGGCTGGTTGTGGAGTGCCGTGGGCCTCCCGGGAGAGGGGAGGATGGGCTGTGCGCCATCAGCCATGCTGGGCAGTGGAGTCCTGTCCAGGAGAGGGCGTGGCCCATGTAGAGGCCCCAGGGCAGGAATGGAGAGCACTGGTGAGTCCCAGGGCATGTGCTCAGACGTGGCTGAGACTGCTCCTCCCCCTCATGGCCAGCTGGGTCCCTGGCTCTTCCCTTCCCTCAGGTGCTGGTTTCCAACAACAGAAGCTGCAGCGCCCAGTCCCAGAGCAGGGTGAGGCCTGCCCCAGCTGAGAGACCCCTTGAAGCCTGGCCTCTCTGGGTGGGTGCAGGAGGAGAGCCCTAGAAAGAACCCGCCTTACCCTCTGGGAGCAGAAGCCTCCCCAGGGGCACAGACCCCCAAGAAGGAAGGGGCTCCATGGGCTGATGGGCTTGGGAAATGCTGCTTGTCTGTCATCCCCCGGCTCCCACCTCGGACACTGCAATATCTGTGAGCTCATTTGGGCTCAGAGCAAAACCTACAGCAGCTCCATGGGTCATATGGCTCCCAGACTGGCGTTTCAGGTACATAGACATCAGGCAGCTGTGGAGACCAGATAAGCACTCAGGGCGGAGGAGCCAGAATCCAGCTCAGCCTTCATCCCGAGCCTCAGGTTCCTCATCTGTGAAATGGGAGGAAGGGAGCCAGGAGGATCCAATCAGTGGGCCTTATTCTCTCTTGCAGCCCAGACTTGGCCCAGCTGCCAAGAAGCTGAGATGGTGACTCAGCCTGCCTGTCCCCGGCCTCCCATCCTGCCTCCGTGACCTTCAGGGCCTCCCCAAGGGCTTGTATTTCACACTGGACATGTCTGGAGACCCCACTCACTACCAGCAACCCCAGCTGCTGGGGTGGATTCTGGCGCCTGCAGGGGCTAGAGTGGGGCCCCAGGGCCTGCACTGCTCTTGAGATGGCCTGCTCTTCCTGATGGCCAGAGTTGCACCCTGTGTTCATGTGCTGGACCTGGAGGGGTGCACCCTGCTGGCGGTTGGAGCCTTCGGTCCTAAGGACTTGACTGTGACAGTTTCTGGGCTTGTGGTGGTCAGCGACCTTGTCCATGGGGCCGTCCACGCCCTCCAGCACACCGTCTGGAATCCCTAGGGCCGCTGGGTAACTGTGGGCACCCTCATGTTCCCCAAGGGGCTAGTGGTGGATGCCCAATCCTGGTGACAGACTACATACCTGGGGTTGTGCATAGCTTCATGCTGGGCCCTACCTGGGAGTCTCTGGCCCCAGCCTCCATGCCGGGTCTGGAGGGCCCCTGATGAGTGGGTCTGGGTCCTGATGGGGACTCTGTGAGTGAGGAATCTGGGGATGTGCTGCTGTTTGACAGTGCTCACCAGCCCCTGAGGTGCCTGGGGGGCTTGATGGGGCACACCTTCGGCACCCCAGCTGGCTTGTGCTCCAACTCGGAGGGCAATGTCATTGTGGCAGATGAACAGAGACGCCTGGTGACTCTGTTTCCCTGGGCTGGGCCACCCATCTGCCTGGTGTCAGAGGGGCTACAGCAGCCCTTGGTCATGGCCTGTACACCCAGGGCCAGCTCCTGGTGGCAGATGCCCAGGACGGCGCCATCAGGGTGTACCAGGGCTTTGAGGATCTGGCCTGACTGGCACCTTCCGTGGCAGCAGTCCCCTTGCTGTGGCTGGGGCCAGCCCCAAGGCCTTTGGACCACCTCGGGCAGAATGTTCAGGGCAAATGAGGCCTCTAGGGCTGCTGGTCACACCTTCCTGACCCCAGCACCTCCTGAGTTGGGTCCTGGGCTGGCCTCCTGTCCTCCTCCTGTGAGGAATCCCACTTCACTTGCAGTCATGCCTCAGTGCCTCCTGGGACACCCCTGCACTCTACATGGTGCACAGCCTCTGAGCTGGGCCTCTCCCTGCTCCTCATGTCCCCGTTCAGTGACGCTGGCCTCTGCACTCATGTGCCCCATGTCCACTCAGGCTGTGACTCTGGTCCCAGGAGGCCTGAGCTTTGGGGCTGGCAGCTAAAGCCTCAAGATATTTGGGCATCAGGTCAGTTACCACTTTGTAGTCAGGTAGTATCTCCCTCCAGGTGCCCCAACCCAGCTTCCTAATCAGAAACAGGCAGGCAGGGAGGGTGTGGCTGAGCTGGGCTTGGCTGGGCTGGGTGGCCTGGGGCTGGGGTGTGGCCTCTCAGTGTCCCCCAGCCTCAGAGGCACTCACAATTTTGAGCCTCTAGCAGCTTCTCTGGGCCCAGTGGAGGTAAGGAGGAGGCAGAGTGGAGGGGCAGCCTGGAGGTGGCCTGGGGATCATCTGACTGGGTTGGAGTCTCAGCCTCTCTCTTCCACTTCCCCATGAATGAAGGCTGAGCCTTCCTTTCCTCTTCTGCAACGGGACCAAACAGCTCCTGGCTCATAGGGCAACCATGCTGGGAGAGTCTAGGAGAGCCTTCCTAGAGGATGGACTCCTGTTTTTATTTATTTATTTATTTGGAGTTGGAGTTTCTCTCTGTCGCCCAGACTGGAGTGCAGTGGCCGCTCCTGGCCACCGCAGCCTCGCCCTGCTGGACTCCGGTGATCCTTCCGCCTCAGCCTTCCAAGTAGCCGGAACTATGTGTGTGCGATACCACGCCTGGCTAATTTTTTGACTTATTGTAGAGACGAGGTCGCTCCAAGTTGCCCAGGCGGGTCTCAAACCCCTGGGCTCAGGCAATCCACTCACCTCAGCCTCCCAAAGTGCTGGGATTACAGGCTCAGCCACCGAGCCCGGCCTCCTGCTGCTATTAAAAGGCGAGAAAAGCCATGGATCTAGCCCCTTCCTCCCAGTTTACAAGTGGGAAAATGAGGCCTGGAAGGAGACTCAGCGAGCCCAGGGCCCAGGGAGGCGTCTTCATGGGGGAGGGATCTGGGAGGGGCCGGTATCTGGTCCTGTCCCTGCCAGTGGTGAGGCAGTGCTCCCATCACCGGACATGGGGTCTATGGTTGGAGCCATCACCCCTGACGCGTCCCCTTAATATGTCCAGCTCCTATGGGCAGTGGAGTTGAATTTGCCAATGTCAGGGAGCGGGTGTGATAGGTGCTTAATAAATGTGAGCTGCTGCTGTTGTTGGGGTATTACTTTCTGGGGACGCCCGGGAGGCAGTCCTGACAATCAGCTCAACTTCTGCACAGCTGGCCCTAGAGGGGACGCGAGGCAGCCCCACCGCAGAGAGCAGCAGGAGGGCGCCAGCCCGGGGATCCTTCCATCCAGGGAGAGTGGGGGCAGGGTGGGCCCAGGCCAGCCAAAAGCCGTTCCTCTCGGCACCTCAGGTAGGAAATCGGAGCTCGGGGAGGCAGTCAGCTGGGGCGAGGGCAGGACGCGGCGCGCGGGGCACGTTGCGCGCGGAGCGCTCGGGTGGGGCCGGCGGGCAGCCCGGGCGCCTTTGGGGGCCGGACCGTCGCGCGGTAACGCAGAGCCGGCGGAAATGGGGCTCGGGTCCCACGGCGCGACCGCGGCGGGGCTTGGGCCTGCG